CATCTATGGTCTTTCTTATTCACTCTCCAACTTTCTCACGTATATGAGGTTATTAAAACTGCCATGACTTGGCTCAGGCACGCCTTAGTCCTCAAACTGATATCTTTGCTCTTCAACACTTTAAAGAGGTCTTGTACAGCAGATTTACCCAATGCAATACGTCATTTGATTTCTTGACTGCTGCTTCCATAAGTGGCAATGGTAGGTAACGTCAGTCTTTTCTCCATTTATATGGATGTTGTTTATTGCTCCAGTGGTGAAGGTTTTTGTTTTCTTTCCATTGACATGCAACCCATACCGAAGGCTGTGGTCTTTGATCTTCATCAGCAAGTATTTTAAGTCCTCTTCACTTTCAGCAAGCAAGGTTGTATCATCTACCTATCACAGGCTGTTAATGAGTCTTCCTCCAATCCTGATGCCACGTTGTTCTTCATATAACCCAGCTCTCGGATTATGTGCTCAGCATACAGATTGTATAAATATGGTAAAAGAATACAACCCTGTTGCACACTTTTCCTAATTTTAAACCATTCATTGTTCCTTTGTTCTCTTCGAACAACTGCCTTTTGGTTTATGTACAGTTCCTCGTGAGAACAATTAACTATTCCAGAATACTCATACTTTGCAATGGTGTCCATAGCTTGTCATGATCCACACAAACAAAAGCCTCTGTGTAGTCAATAAAGCACAGGTAAACATTTTTCTGATATTCTCTGCTTTCAGCCAAGATCCATCTGACGTCAGCAATGATATACCTCATTCCATGCCCTCTTCGGAATCCAATTCGAACCTCTGGAAGTCCTCTGTCAATGTATGGTTGCAGCCATTTTTGTATTACCTTTAGTAAAACTTTACTCACATGGGATATTAATGATATTGACTGATAATTTCTGCATTCCGTTGGGCCATCTCTTTTCAGAATGAGCACAAATATGAATCTCTTCCTGTCAGTTGACCAGATTTGTTGGCATAGATGAGTGAGTGCCTCCAGTGCCTCATCAGTTTGTTAAAAGGTTTCAATGTGTGTTCCATCAATTCCCGATGCCTTGTTCTTTGTCAATGCCTTCCGTGCACCTTGGACTTCTTTCTTCAGGACCATTGACTCTTGATCATATGCTACCTCTTGAAATATTTGAACAATGACGATTTCTTTTTGGTACATTGACTCTGTGTATTCTGTCCATCTTTTTTTTGATGCTTTCTACATCGTTCAATATGTTGCCTATAGAATTTTCAATATCAGAAGTACAGTTTTGAATTTTTTCTTTAGTTCCCTCAGCTTGAGCAATGCTGATCATGTCCTTCCCTTTTGGTTCTGTAATTCAAGGTCCTTGAGCATTTTGTTCTAATATTTGACCTTTGAAAATTTCTGTTCAACTAATATCTCCTCATTTCTTCCATTTACTTCAGCATCTCTATGCTGAAGAGCAAATTTCAAAGCCTTTTTAGCCATCCATTTTGGTCTTTTCCTTCTTTCTTGTCTTGATGACCTTTTGCTTTCTTCCTGTATGATGTTTTTGATGTCATCTGACAACTCTTATGGTCTTCGGTCTTTAGAGTCTAACATATCAAATCTGTTCTTCAGATACTGTCAAAATTCAAGTGGAATATATTCTAGGTCATATTTTGACTCTCGTGGACTTGTTTTAATTTTTTTCAGCTTCAACCTGAATTTACATATGAGCAATTGATGGTCTGTTCCACAGTCTGCCCCTGGCCTTGTTTTCACTGATGATATGGAACTTTTCCATCTTCTCTTTCCACAGATGTAGGCAGTTTGTTTTCTATGTATTCCATCTGGTGAGATCCATGTGTATAGTCATCTTTTATGTTGTTTTAAAAAGGTATTTGCAATGAACAAGTCACTGGTCTTACAAAATTCTATCATGCAATTTCCAGCATCATTTCTATGCCACGGCCATATTTTCCAACTACTGGTCCTCCCCCTTTGTTTCCAACCTTTGCATTCCAATCGCCAGTTATTAATCAATTTATCTTGATTGCATGTTTGATCAATTTCAGACTGCAGAAACTTAAAATTCTTGAATTTCGTCCTCACTGGCTTTAGTGGTTGGTGAGTAAATTTGAATAATAGTGGTATTAACTGGTCGTCCCTGTAGGCACGTGGATATTATTCTATCACAGACAACATTGTACCTCATGACTGATCTGGATTTGTTCTTTTTGACAATGACTACAACACCATTCCGCTTCAATTTGTCATTCCCGGCATAATTTATGTGATTTTTAGATTCAAAATGGCCAACACCAGTTCATTTCACCTCACAAATGCCTAGAATATCCATATTTATGCATTTCCATTCCATTTTTTACAATTTCCAATTTTCCTAGGTTCATGGTTCGTACATTCCATATTCCAATTTTTAATGGATGTTTATAGCTGTTTGTATTAATTTTGAGTTGTGCCCCATCAGCAAATGCCGGTCCCATGGGCTTTACTCTGTTTGCCTCATCACGGTGAACTCGACTTTGAAGAGGCATCTCTTCCCCAGTTGCTTTTGACTGCTTTCCAACCTGAGGTCCTCATCTTCTGGCACTATATCTGACAGTATGCTGGTGTTCTTCATCATGTTTCAATATTCAGTAATCTGGTGCTGACAGTGTTTCACTGCTATTCATAAGGTTTTCATTGACCGAATATTTGGAAATTGTCCGTGTCTCCTTCTTCCTATTCTGTCTTCATCTGGAAGCTCATCTGAAACCTGTGCACCCTGGGTGATGCTGCTGATATATAAAATACCCATGACATAGCTTCCAGAATCACAACAACACGCAAGCCACCACAGTACACAGTATAACAGACAGATGAGTGGTGGGTTCATTTTAGTGTAGTCCAATTTATTATATATGTGTGTGTGTGTATAGTGTGCTTTTGGAGTCCTGGTGTGGCACTGTGGGTTAATGCGCCAGACTGCAAAATCGTTTGAACTGCAAGGTCGGTGGTTCAAGTTCACCAGCTCCTCCTTGGAAAGCCTATACAGGGTCGCTGTGGGTTGGAACCAACTCGATGGCACTTCACAACAACAACTCTGTTTTTGGTGGTGTTTTAAACAAGAATATGTAAGATTCCCTAGATTTTCTCCTATGTTATCATCAATAAATTTGTATTAATTTTACAACTTATATTTAGGTCTGTGATCCATTTAAATTTAAATGTGGAAGGTGTTAGCACTGTGTCTAGATTCATTCTCTTGTATGTGGGTGTCCAGTATTATGAGCACTCTTTGCTGAAAATATGATCCTTTCTCCATCGAACTGCTTTTGCTCCTTTGTCAAAAATCAGTTCACTATGTGTATTGGTGTAACTCTAGGTAGTCTCTTCTGTTGCACTGATCTATTTTTCTGTGTCTTCACTAATGTCATTTCACTAATGTACTGATCACCGTACTTGAAATCAGGTGATATCACTCCTCCAGTTCTGGTTTTCAATATTATGTTAGCTAGTCTAGGACATTTGCCTTTCCATATAATGTTTAGAATCAGATCGTCGATATCCGTGAGATAACTTGCTGGGATTTTGACTGGGATTGCATTGAGTCTATAGGTCAAGCTGGGAACAATTAACATCTTAACATCTTCTTGTCTGTGAACATGGAATATTTATTTAGATCTTTGATTTCTTCCATCAGAGTTTGGTAGTTTTCCTCATATGAACACACGACATATTAAACTTATTTATACCTATGGGGGTTTTTTTTGTGCAAATGTAATAAAAGTTGTGTTTAATTTCACACTCTAACTACTCATTGCTGGTATGTAGGAAAACAATCAACTTTTGAATATTTTAAAGGCACTATAGGATAAATCTGACTCCTTATCCTATTGTGTTGCTGTAGGATAAGCACTGGACTACGAACCACAGGTCTGTGGTTCAAACTCACTAGCTGCTCCTCAGAAATCCTATACAGGGTCTCTATGACTCAGAACTGACTCAATGGCACTTTACAACAAAACTACACCATCCTGCTACCTTTCTTATTGATTTCCGAGGGATTATTTTTAGTATTTTATGCTTAGACAATCATATCATCTGTGAACAACAGCAGTTATATTTCTCTCTTCTCAATTGATACACCTTGTATTTCCTTTCCTTTCCTTATTAGTTTAGTTAGAACTTTAAATACATTGTTGACTAGGATATGGAATGTGGGCATGCGTGTCCCATTTCAGATCTTAAAGGAAAAGCACTTCGTTTCTCAACGTTAAGGAGGATTTTAGGTGTAGGGTTTGCAGATGTTCTTTATCAAGCTGAGAACGTTCTCCTCTGAGAAGCTGAGAGTTTTCATTATGAATTGATGTTGACTTTTGTCTAATGCTTGTTCTACCTGTGTTGATATCATCAAAGGATTTTCTCCTTTAGCCTATTCACATGACAAATTACATTAATTGATTTTTCTAACATTAAGCCAGCATTGCATATCTGGACTAAATCCTATTTGGTAATGGTGTATAATGCTTTTTATACATTTTTATACTAAAAAAAAAAAAAGCTGGATGGGTGGAGAATAGTAATTTGTGTTTCTTCCCAAGCACAAGTCTATTATATGTATATGCCTAAATTCAGTATATAATAAGGAACTTGAAGCCCACAGAAGTCACACATTCATAAGAGGTAAAACTGGGATTCAAACCTCCATCCTCTGATTCCTCACCAGGAGACTGAGTAGGGATGGAAATCCTAAGTGCATTACTGGTGCCCATTCTACAGCCACATATGATGAAAGTCTATTTGGCACCAAAGAGCTGCTCAGAAAGTTGAAAGAGACTGAGTCCAGATTTGTCAGGACCTTTGCATAAGTAGTGGGATTTACAAGAAACCCCCGGTGTGTCTAAAGCATAGGGCCATTGCAGCCTTTCAAATACAGAAATAGAGGGGAAGAAAGGGCCTTTTATCAGAGAAGGCAAGAGGCCCTGAGTCTTCTTTATCTAATTGGTATACTCTGGTAGGCATCACTTTAATAAAGTTCTCATTCTTACAGGAAATAGTGAAAAACCCAGAATTCATTCTTGGAGGAGCCACCAGGACTGATATCTGCCAGGGAGAGCTTGGTAAGTGAGAGTGGAGAAGGTGAATAGTCAGTCTGACAGACTCTGCCCTGCCAGCATTCTCAAGGACTGGACTCTCCAAGATGGGTCCCACTGGTAGCACTGGGTCTACTGGAGAATGCCCAGGGAGACATGGGCTGGCTGGGAACCTCACTGCTACCATTCTCTCCTTCCTTTTTCTCCTTTCTGACCTCCCTCCGGCTTCTCTGGCCTGCTCTCTGAATGGGGTGGAGCCCCATGGACTCCAAGGCTCTTGCCATCATCCCTCTCTGGTGGCAGTGCGTCTATGGTCTCAGGCCAAGATCATAGCCCAGGAGTTCATGAGAACAATTCCTCTCGGTAGTGCTGTCATGTATTTATTAGGTTATCTGTAGGCATGTTTCTGGGCACTCAACGCAGCCTTCCAACCACTCTCCCAGTTTTACAGAAGAGGGGAACAAGGGAAGGTCATGGACACCTTCAGACTTCCACTGTCCTATGGAGTCAAGAAAACAAAAATCCTCACCACTGGACCAATAAACAACATTCTTATCAACGGAGAAAAGATTGAAGTTGTCAAGGACTTCATTCTTCTTGGATCAACTATCAACATTCACGGAAGCAGCAGTCAAGAGATCAGATGACATATTGCATTAGGCAAATCTGCTGCACTGGAACTTTTTAAAGTATTGAAGAGCAAAGATGTCAGCTTGAGGACTAAGGTACGCCTGACCCAAGCCATGGTATTTTCAATAACCTCATCTGGATACGAAAGCTGGACAGTGAATAGGGAAGATCGTAGAAGAATTGATGCCTTTGAATTGTGGTGTTGGAGGAGAATACTGAAAGTGCCATGGACTGCCAGGAGAACCAATAGATCTGTTTTGGAAGAGGTGCAACCAGAGTGCTCCTTGGAGGCCAAGATGGCAAAGCTTCGTCTCTCATACTTTGGACATATTGTCAGGAGGGAACAGTCACTGGAGAAGGATGTCATGCTGGGTAAGATGGAGGGTCAGAGAAAAACAGGAAGACCCCCAACGAGATGGATCAGCCAGGTGGCCTCATTGATGGCATCGAGTGTGACAGCGGTAGTGAGGTTGGCCCAGGATCGGACGTTGTTTCGTTCTGCTGTGCGTGGGGTCGCTATGAGTCGGTTCCGACTTGATGGCACCTGACAACAACAACAATGGAGTCTCCCAGAAGCTGGCCAGAGGCGTCAAAGAACAGCTGACACATTAGAAACCAAACTCTATGAGTTTGCTAAGGTTGGGGTGCCATGCACCCTGTTGTGTCATCCAGTTGTTGTTAAGTGCCATCAAATTGGTTCTGACTCATACTGACCCTGCATAAAGTTTCTGAAAAGTGGCTGGTGGGTTTGAAGTGCCGACTCCTAGTTAGCAGTCCTGTGTTTATCCTACAGGACCCCATGATGTCAGAGAAAGTCAGAAATAAAGTGATCTAGAAGTGACTTTCCTGGTGCGTGCTCTTATTCTCTCTCGCTTGTGCACAGTAACCAGAAAGGGGCCTCATTCCACTGTCCTGCCTCCAGAGAGTACACCAGAACGTGGTAACTAGTTTGGTCCAGAAGTGTGAATTTTGAGGAAGGCAGGCTATGTGTGATAAGGCCTTGAGTTCCAGTGACCTCTTCCAATGTTATCCTCTAAACACAAAGACATCTGGGAGGAGAAAACTGAGATGTCCTGTTGCTAAGTGCTGTTGTATGGCTTCTGACTCATGACCATGTATAGGGTTTCCGAGGAGCAGCTGGTAATTGGCAACCCAGTGTTGATCCTACAGCACCACACCAGATAAATGAATGTCTCTATACATCTGCAGCACTCCGTGTAGCACCGCTTGGTGTGTTCAAGGAACACAACAGTCCCTGCAGAACTGCATGGTGTGTTCTTGGTGTGTTCAGACCATTTTCAGTGGAGGCAGTCAGGTGCACCGAGCATCTGGTAGCTACAGACAGAGCACTGCAGGAGGTTTGTCTTCACTCTTTAGTCTTCCTCCAGTTGCGTGCTAACATGAAGGCACAACTTGGGAATTCCATGGCCAAGTCAACAAATTTTGAAAATGCAAAAGTATGGAAAGTCAGTTCCTGCTGAGCTATCCTTATCTATGACTAAACTGATCTGGATTGTGGGGGAGCATGAACCCCCAGAATGTGTTCCCTGGGTACTGTGTGGGCTATTTCTGAGGAGACCTCGATATTGCAGAACCTGGAGGGTAGCAGCAACAGCCTTGGTACACAGGAAAGGAAGTGGGTACAATTTCACAGAGCTGAAGCCTAAACAAGCGTATCTGTCAGCATTACCAAGATGGCCACAGCTGTTAATGACAAACTGAGAGAAGAGCTAGGAAGGGAGACAGAGGTATCTAGTCACATTTTATCAGTTTTGTTTGTGTTTTTAATACAGAGAAACTGTGGCCACATGTGAAACTCCCCAGATCTGTCTCTGGCATACACTTTTCACATTTATTGTGAATCAATGGTGAAAACAGTGACAAGTGGCTTTCATTTTGTAGGAGACTGTTGGCTGTTGGCTGCCATTGCCTCCCTTACGCTTAATGAGAAGGCACTTGCTAGAGTTATTCCTCAAGACCAAAGCTTTGGCCCTGGATATGCCGGCATTTTCCATTTTCAGGTAAGAGGGGACACTGGTCCAGCGGCAGCGTTATCTCTTTGGGGTCCAACACGATGCCTGGAGTATCTTCATGGTGCTTGGTGACTGTGGCAAGGATGTGATTCCATTTACAGTGTGGGAGCTCTAGTTTGAAACATTACTTCAAAAGCACGCTTTGAGATGGAATATTTAGATGCATTAAATGAGCACTAAAGACAAGCCATGGTCCATCCTTTTTAAAGGCATACAATAAACTGTTAGGTGATGTTTTGGCAAGTCTGGTGTTGGCAAGCCTTATTTCCAGATTTTAAGGGTTTTCTTATTTGGAATTTCTTGTACTTTCAGCATAAATGCCTGAAAGCAATCACACTTGTTGGAAGCTGGATTTTTTCTCATAAATGGAGTGAGACACCTTACTGAAATAATAATAATAAATTTGGAGACATTGAATGGGTTCAAAAATACAAAACCACAAGACACATTGAGACATCATGTGCTGGGATAGTGTGGGGTAGCATGAACACAACACCCATGTGGGACACAGAGGAGGAAAGTTTCCTCCCACTTCTATGCTCTCCTCCACCAAGTCCTCATGCAGAGATCAACCTAATATGGAAATATGTCTCCGCTACACACTTAATCTGGGGCCTCAGACATTTCCTGTGATGGAACTGATCTTTAGTGCACTCATTGGACAACAAGAGAGATTAGATTTACCTCACAGGATTTTCATAAGAACTAAATGGAATACTGCATAATGTATTAAGAGTCTGTATGTGGTGCTATGGGTTCACGTGCAAGGTTGGTGTTTCAAGCTCACCAGTCATGCCTTGGAAACCCTATACAGGGTTGCTATGGGTCGGAACCAACTCAACGGCACTTAACAACAACAGCACAATGCCAGGCATGAAGTGGGAGTTCCTTAGCTTCTGCCCCACCACTTTCTCCTCCTCTCAGAATACTGCACTTGAGTCTAGCCCTGGTCTTTCTGTCACTAAGGCCAGAAATCTGATAAACTGATGTGCACTACAGTTTCAGTACCTGTCATGGATTGATTGATGCCCACCATTCCACCCACTTCCCCACGTCCAGTCTCAATATGTGCTGGAATCCTAACCTCTACATCTATGAGTATAATCCTATTTGGAAATAGACTTTCTGTTGTTATTCTAATTGGATCATATCTGAATAGGGGACTTCTAAAGCAAGTCACTTCTGAATTATAAAATTAGCAGATTAGACACAGATTAGGTTACTTATAAAATGAGCTGAAATAGGCTGGTGTTGGCCATTTTGGATCTGCATGGTTCACTATGCTGGGAATGACAAATTGAAGAGGAATGGCATCACATTCATCATCAAAAAGAACATTTCAAGATCTATCTTGAAATACAAGGCTGTCTGTGATAGGATAGGATCCATATGCCTACAAGGAAGACCGGTTAATACAACTATTATTCAAATTTACTCACTAACTACTAAAGCCAATGATGATGCAATTAAAGAATTCTACCAACATCTTCAGTCTGAAATTGATCAAACATGCAATCAAGATGTATTGATAATTACTGGTAATAAGAATGCAAAGGTTGGGAACAAAAAGGAAGGATTGATAGTTGGAAAATATGGTGTTGTTGATAGAAATGATGCTGGAGATCACGTTGTGCAATTTTGCAAGACCAATGACTTCTACATTGCAAATACCTTTTTAAACAACATAAAAGGACATTATAAACATGGACCTCATCAGATGGAATACACAGAAATCTAGTTGACTACGTCTGTGGGAAGAGACAGTGGAGAAGTTCAATATCATCAGACAAAACATGGACTATGGAACAGACCACCAATTGCTCATATGCAAGTTCAGGCTGGAGCTGAAGAAAATTAAAACTGGACCCATAGGACCCAAAATATGACTTTGAACATATTCCACCTGAATTTAGAGATCATCTGAAAAAACAGATGTGATACAGTAGACACTAAAGACCAAAGACATCAAGAACATCAAATAGGAAAAAAGCAAAAGATCATTAAAAGGTAAGAACCACCCACGGAATCGTTTTCATCTTGTTTAAATGGGTCTGATGTAAGGAGATGGGGATAAGATTCTTATGATTCAATAGTGAGTAATTGTTATCATGACTAATTGCTACTGTCACAACTATAAAGGTAGAAGTTTTGTAACAAAAAAGAGGGAGTAGTTAATCTTACAGTCCAGGAACACAGGACCCTAGAACCATCAAGAGAGAAGAGCACAAGTAGAATGTGGGACCCTATCCAGAGAAGCAGTGACACCAGAGATGGAGGCAGAGATAAGGGCATGGAGAGATAGAGCAGCTGAGGACTCTATACTCATGGAAAAAGAAAGGCTGTGTGCTGGCGGCCAGGAGGCAGGCTAGCAGAATGTGCCTTTGGTTGTTTAAATGATTATATATTCAGAGGGAATAGACGCAAATACTGTTGATTGATGATGCACTGAGGAGATTGTGATCAATGCAATGAAACGATGAGTGTAAAATGATGTTCTTCCAATGTAACTCAATTCACAATAAAAACTTAAAAAAAGAAGGCAAGAAAGAAGGAAAAGACCAAAATGGATGTCACTAAGAGACTGAAATTTTTTCTCCAGTGCAGAGATGATAAAACAAATGTAAGAAATGAGGAGGTAAAAGAGTTGAATAGAAAATTTCAAAGGGCAATTTGAGAACACAAAGTCATGTATTATAATGAAACGTGCAAAGACATGGAGTTAGAAAACCAAAAGGGAAGAACACACTCAGCATTTCTCAAGCAAGCACTGACTGGCAATATTGAAGGATTCTATGGGCAAAATATTGAATGATGCAGAAAACATCAAAAGAAGATGGAAGGAATACAGTCACTGTACCAAAAAGAAATGGTCGATGTTCAACCATTCTAAAAGGTAACATATGATCAAGAGCCAATGGTATTAAGGAAGAAGTTCAAGGTGCATTGAAGGGAAAGAACAAGGCTCTTGGACTTGATGGAATACAAATTGAAATCTTTCAAGAAACTAATGTGGCCCTGGAGGCATTCATCCATCTATGCCAAGAAATTTGGAAGATGACTACCAGACCAACTGATGGAAAAAGATCCATGTTTGTGCCCATTCCAAGGAGAGGTAACCCAACGGAATGTGGAAATCATCATTAATATTGAATGCAAGTAAAATTTTGCTAAAGATAATTTTTAAATGGATGCAACAAGAATGTGCCCTTGGGTTGTTTAAATTATTATACATTAAATGATTATACATTGCACATTTAAAAAACAAAACAAAACAGAGGGAATAGAAGCAAATACTGTTGAATGATGATGCGTGGAGGGCATTGTAATCACTGCAGTGAAACAATATACCATAGGATGAATGTAAAACCGATGTTCTCCCATGTAAACTATCATTCAATTCACCAAAGAAACTTAAATTAAAAAAAAGATCATGGAATTTTCCCACAAGGGGTTAAAAAAAAAAAAAAAAGATGTTCCAGGTAAATTCCTGAGATAGCTGATGAAAAGCTGTTTAAACATCTATTAGTCATGTTTTATGATCCCACTTGAAGGATATAAGACTATGATTAAAACCCTCTGTAATTAGTTCTTGAAATCAATCCCAGAAGGCTTCTATATTCAATTATGCAACAGCAAGCAGCCCATTCCCCCTCCAACCATTCTTCTTGTAACATCAACCAAACGCTAGCCAATCAGACAACTGTATGATAATTTCTTTGTTCCCTGGACTATATCTGTGTTAGACGTGCTTTCTTGAAGTCATCAAGTCTCGTTTTATGGATTCACGCCTCCCTTCATCAAATATTTTCTTTTCTAAATAAAACTCTTTTAATCTCAAAAAAAAAAAAAAAGGTTGCAACAGTACATTTATAGGAAACTGCCAAAGCTCTCAAGGAGCTTTGGTAGCGTAGTAACCAGTCAGGCTGCTAGCCTCAAGATCAGCAGTTTGAAACTTCCAGTCCTATGTGGGAGAAAGAGGAGACTTTCTGCTCCAGTAAAGATTTTCAGCCTTGGAAACGCTTTACAGGGTCGCTATAAGTCAGAATCAACTCCACGGCATATAACTACCACCATGCCAGAGGTTCAAGTTTTGTTCAAATGAAGACGTGAAATGAGGGATATCATTGCTGACATCAGATGGATCTTGGCTGAAAGCACAGAATACCAGAAAGATGTTTACCTGTGCTTTATTGACTATGCAAAGACTTTGAATTGTGTAGATCATGATAAGCTGTGAACAACATTGCGAAGTAAGAGTATTCTGGAACACTTAATTATGCTCATGAGGAATCTGTACCCGGACCAAGAGGCAGTTGTTTGAACAGAACAAGGGAACACTGAATGGCTGAAAATTAGGAAGGATGTGTGCCAGAGTTGTATTCTTTCACTATACTTATTCAATCTGTATGTTGAGCAAATAATTCGAGAAGCTGAATTACATGAAGATGAACGTGGCATCAGGGTTGGAGGAAGTCTCATTAATAACCTGCAATATGCAATCTTGATTGTTGAAAGCAGAGAAGACTTACTGATGAAGACCAAAGACCATAGCCTTCAGTATGATTTGTACTTCAATGTAAAGAAAACAAAAATCCTCGCCACTGGACCAATAAATAACATCAAGATAAATGGAGAAAAGATTGAAAACTTGTCAAAGACTTCATTTTGTTTGGATCAAACATCAGCACTCATGGAAGCATCAGTCAAGAAATCAAACGATGTATTGCTTTAGGCAAATCTGTGGTAAAAGACCTCTTTAAAGTGCCAAAGAGCAAAGATGTCAGTTTGAGGACTAAGGTGTGCCTGACCCAAACCATGATCTTTTTAAAAAACTCATATGTATGTAAAAGTTGGACAGTGAATAAGGAAAACTGTAGAATACATTTGATTTATGGTGTTGGAGGAGAATATTGAAAGTACCATGGACTGCCAAAAGAACAAACAAATCTGTGTTGGAAGAAGTGCAGCCAGAGTGCTCCTTCGGAGCCATGATGGCCAGACTTTGTCTCTTATACTTCAGACTTATTATCAGGAGGGGCCAGTCCTGGAGAAAGACACCATATTTGGTTAAAAGGTCAGAGAAAAAGATGAAGGACCCCCAAAAATGGATTGTCTGGTGGCAGCAGCAATGGTCTCAAGCATAGCAATGATTGTGAGGTTGGCGCAGGACCAGGCAGTGTTTCATTTGGTTGTACATAAAGCCGCTGTGAGTCTGTATAGTCTCAACAACAACAACAACACAGGGTCTCCACATCTGTCATTTTTATGGCAGTGCACTGTCACATCTTTCTCCCGTGTAATAAATGGTGGATTGGAACCACCGACCTTTCGATTAGCAGCTGAGTGCTTTAACCACTGTGTGACCAGGGTAAAGTTTACAGGAGGGAGCTAAAGGTTAAAGAAACACTGAGATGGGGCTGGAATTTGGATGGTAGAGAACAGGAAAAAACTGGGCTGCACAAGAAAGCTAGAATGTACACTACCACCCGACACAAACACACACACAAAAAAAAAGAAAAAAAGGAAGCATTTGGGGGCATTTTAAAGTGTTCTGAAACCAAGTCTTGGGACCAATGGTGATGGCAGGCAGAAACACACATGTGCAAGCAAAGGACCCTGTGGTGGGACCTGTATTTCTTTCCTACGGTCACTACAACACATTGAAACACATGGTGGCTTAAAACAACAGAAATGCCTTCTCTCAGAGCTCAAAACTCAAGTTGTTGGCAGGGCCATACTCCTCGGAAGGGCCTGAGAGAAGACTCTTTCCATGTTGCCTCAGTTCTTAGAGGTTGCCGGCATCCTTGGCATTCTTCAGGGTACAGAGTTGTAGAGGTATCATTCCACCTTCTGCCTCTGTCTTCACATGGCCACCTTTCCTCTATGTCTGACTCTGTGTCCAAATGTCCCTCTCTTTATGAGAACACTGATCACTGGATTAGGGTCCACCCTAATTCCTTGTGATCTCATCTCAATTGATCACATCTATAAAGACCCTTTTCCAAATAAAGTCACATTCACAGGTACAAGGGATAGTTTTACCCACTACAGAACACATATGGGATTTTCCTCAAGACTGTAAGGACAGAATAGTCAACCTTCCCTGCCAAAAATAAAAATGTACTCAACATTTACAACTAGGGCCCAGATCCCAAGTATGGCTCACTCCCAATTTCTGTCCCTGTCCTGGGCACAGTTCTGGCAGCACAGTGAATGGCTGGACGTGGTGATTGATGACCGACTGCCTACCTTCAGGGACCGCTTGGTTTTCCTTCACTCCGCAGACCACAACGAGTTCTGGAGTGCCTTGCTGGAAAAGGCCTATGCCAAGTGAGTGCTGGTAGCCCTGAGTTGGGAAGTTCACTCTTCACTGGTTTCCTACTGAAGGAAGGCTGGATCAGGAGAAGGAGGCAAAGGCTCAGGGTTGACCAGTGAAGCACAATGGGTCTATTTCATTGGGGCTTCCTCAGGATTGGAGGTGGAAAGGGAACAACCTCAACAAGTTTCCAGTCATGGTCCTAGATATGCCCCTTCTACGGGTATCTTTCTCTGCATCATAGGTATGGCGTTGGGAAGAGATGAAGTGGGGAAAGCTGTGAGAATCAACAGAGAAATTCTGGATGTGCTGACAAAGCGCTTGGTTCTTCAGAATTCCCCACCTAACATTCATGACCTAAACATGTGAGTGGAGGGAGGGACTTGACTCTCAATCTAGCATGTATAGCTAACACCATTCTAAGTGAGATTATCCAGAAAGATACAGTCATATCAATCAGAACAGTCCATGGAGGGACTATACAACTGTTATCCCCATTTTACAAATTGGGCAACAGGCCCAGAGCAAGCAACTCAGCTCAAGTCACACAGAGCCCATGTTCTTCAACACCACCGTGTCATACTGCTTTAGAGTTTCCTCAGAGCTCAAACCTTGCTCCCCACCTGCCACACTTCACAGCCAGGTCACATCTGGTTCTAGCTTAGAAAAGGGTAACACTGTATTTTACTCCTGTCCTGATGACTGAGGGATGCCTCCTGGTGTCTCTCTTGTTCTGTAGCCATCTCCTTACTTTTCTTGCTTTCCTCACAGACTCAATGGGAGCTATGAGTCTCTGAAGGGGGGAAGCACCATTGAAGCCATGGAAGACTTCACCGGTGGCGTAGCAGAGACCTTTGAAACTGAAAAGGCTCCAAAGAACTTCTATGAGATTCTAGAGAAGGCCTTGAAGAGGGGCTCTCTGGTGGGCTGCTCTATTGAAGTAAGTCTCTCGTTCTAGCATACAAACACACATATTTCTGCTCTCTGTTTTTTAAAAATCCATTGATATTTTCTACTCTCTTTTGGATTAATTTTGGGAATTTACTTTTTGCCAATGAAACATAAGTTTCTCCTGCATTTCAAAATTTGTGACATAGAATTTTATGAAAATTTGTTACATGTTTCTTTAACTCTTTAGTATACGTGACTGTACCGCGTCTCTCTTGCTGCATAAGTCTGATGTCATATTGTTCTGTTTGGGGGCAAAAAAAAAAGTCACCTCTTTTTTGGAATTTGAGCTGAGAATTAGTCTCCACATATTGGGGACAAATTGGGACTTTTATGTAACTGGCTGCTAAACATCTTCAGGGCTTCCTGTCTAACCAGTTTCTGTGCTCTACATACATGGTCCTCATTGGGAGAGCAGGGTAAGAGGTTGCCATGGTGTAGTGGGACCAGACACAGAGTGGGGTTAACAGGGTAGGGACGATTTGACTTGGTCAATGCATCCAGTATTGTCTTTTTATGTTTTAGACCAGAACTTCTGCAGAGTCAGAAGCCCGAACACCATTTGGTCTTATCAAAGGGCATGCCTATACTGTCACTGGAATTGATCAGGTAGGTGATGAAATTCCTCTTGACAGGGCCTAGATATGGACATGATGACACTAGTTCCTTGTACCTATAGATGTAGTGCATCCCAATTGAAACAGCACTGTCGAGAAGGTCTCATCTTAGGGAGGCAAGTTGGGGTCCACACCACCAAAACATCCAGCATCAAACTGGACTTTT